TAATAAGGATGATGATAATAATAATAATGATAATGATAATAATAGTAATCATGACAATAAGTATAATAACGATAATGATAATGATCCAAATGAAGATGAAAAAAAATAACAATACTAATAACAATAAGAATAGAGTAATAATTGTAATTGCAATCATAATGATGATGCTAATAAGGAATTAATGAATGATGAGATGCTAATAATGAATCTACGATTACAATGAAAATTATAATAATAATCCTACCAGATAATAATGATAACGACACAAAAACAACAACAAAAATTATGGTAATAAGAACAATAATGGTGATAATGTTAACGTTAATATGAATGACTTTGACGTGACTTGATATGAAGCGGAGGAAAACAAAGACGAGAAAAGAGGAAATCCAAAGAGGAGAAGTAGAAAACTGAAGGAAAATATGTAAAGGGAGAAGGAAATAAGGAAGGGAGAAAGGGGAAGTGGGCAGACACGCACGGGAGTTGGGGTCGTTTGACTGTATTATTTTCGAAGGGAGAAAAAAAATTGTGCTTAAAAAAGAGTAAAAACTATAAGAGAAAATTGCGTTTTTTTATTTTATTTTATTTTTTTTTTTGTAAAATGAAGGAGATTAAAGTGTTCTTTTTGTAACATTGGGGGCAGAGAAGTGTTGATTTGTCAAAATCAGGGAGAGTAATATCATTTAGTAAAAATATGGAAAGGAAAGTTCCATTTAGTGAAATCAGGGAGAGAGAAAAATAAAACAAAGACATTTGCTCTTTTTTTGAGGGAAAAGTCCTCTTCTAGGGAAGAGAGAGAGAGAGAGAGAGAGAGAGAGAGAGAGAGAGAGAGAGAGAGAGTGAGTGAGTGAGTGAGAGAGAGAGAGAGAGAGAGAGTGAGAGAGAGAGAGAGAGAGAGAGAGAGAGAGAGAGAGAGAGAGAGAGAGAGAGAGAGACAGAGAGATAAAACAGGGATAGAAATCAAGGAGAATGAAATCAGGGAGAGAAGAGTTATTTTAATGCCCGGAGAACACTGCTCATTCATAAAAAAAAAAAAAAAAAACAGAGAAGGATGAGTGCTATTTTGATAATGATTATAGATAGGAAAATGAACTTGTTTTGAAAAAAATCAGTAAAAGTGTGGCCTGGCAGTCCAAAATGGGGAAAGAAATGTGTCCCTTCCCAAAATCAGCAACAGAACAGTGCCCATTGATTCAAAATCAAGGTAAAAAGTGCAAAGTAGTCAAAATAGGAAATTGCTCATTTAGCCAAACTCTAGGAAAGAAAACGTCGTTATAAAAAAAAAAAAAAAAAAAAGCGAGACGCACCTGTTTGTCACAGGAGCGGCCATTTTTTTTCCTTTCTTTTAAACCAAACCTTACGTCCTTCGAAGAGCCTGTAAACGTTATCGAAACTACAAGATTCCCAGAACGTATATTCTTAGAACAATTCCTAGTACTGTGACGAGCTTCTTGGCCCCGCCTTGTATCAGCTCAGGACTAGTCCCACTTGACTCAGGATTTGTCAATGGAATAGCAATTAAATGATAATTTGGAAGCGGGGAATACCGCAGCCAACGTCACGTGCTTCGTTAGTAAATAAGACTTGGATTATTCTCCTTTCGAATATGTGTTATTTTTCGTTATGAGGATGGGAAGGAAGACTTTTTAGGAGGAGAAGGAAGGGGAAGAAGAAAGGAGGAATAGGAGAAAGAGAGGGAGAAGGAGCTTCCGGAAAAAAAGAGAGATGGGGTAAAGAGAAAGGAGGGAGAAAGACTTACAGATAACAGGGAGATGGGTAAGGGGAAGGAAGGAGGAAGTTGAGGCTATAAAAAAAAAGGGGGGGGGGGAAAGTGCTGGGGGGGGAAATAGGAGGAGGGGGGGGGGGGAAGACTGGAGTTAAGACTGGGGGAAAGAGTGAATTTAAGGAAGAACTGGGAGGGAGACAGGGTGTGGCAGAGCATGGAGAGGAAATATATAGCAAGAGGAAGAGGAAAAGGAAGAGAGGAGGCATAAAGTAGAAGGAATTTACACGGGTCCCATTAGTATTAATGATGATTATGATGAAAATGATGATGATGACCATAACGATAATAATAAAAAAATAATAGTAATAAAAATTATAATAATGATAGAATAATAGCAATGATAACAATAATGATACTACTACTACTACTACTAAAATGACAGTAAAAAGAAAAGAAATGCTAACAACAATAATATTTATTATTATGATAATGATATCAATTATAATGATAAAAGTCATAACAATACTACTACTGACAATGATAATGATAATAATGATTGTAAAGATAATAATAATAATAATAGTAATAATAATAGTGATAATAATAGCAATAATGATAGCAATAACATGAACAGTAATGACGATAATGATAATGATAAAATAATAATGATAACAATGAAAAAAACAATGTTAATAATAATCAAAATGATAATATTGTTATTATTAGTAGTAGTAGTAACAACAATAATAACATTAATATAATAATAACAATAATGATAATAATTATAATAATCATAATCATAATAATAATGATTATCATTATTCATTATAATCATGATCATTACTACCATCATTATCATTTTTCTGCATTGAGTGAGAAGTAAGAAGTACTCGTATCATCTTACATAAAAATAAATGGGTGTTACACTAGCCCTGTTACTATGGTTCTTTCATGCTTGTTCTCTCTCTCTCTCTCTCTCTCTCTCTCTCTCTCTCTCTCTCTCTCTCTCTCTCCTCTCTCTCTCTCTCTTCTCTCTCTCTCTCTCTCTCTCTCTCTCTCTCTCTCTCCCACTGTTATATTGTCCGAATGCGATATCTTCTAATCAAAGGCTAATTAACATTTTCGTTTGATGTTTTTCTTCCAATTATAAGGTATAATCGATAATAACTATATTAACGCAAAAGAAAAAATATCACTGTTATGAAACGAAAATAGCTGGCAATTTTTTCTGGGATCTTTTTAGCTTCAGAAATGAAATACAAGACAAGTTGCTCGCCTGTTTGTTTACATCTTGAGAGCCACGTTCCCCCGTCCTGCCGACACTCGAGTAGAAAATATACACTTTCTGTTTCTTGTCACTTTAACCAGGGGCGTTTTCTTTTTTTTTTTTTTTTTTTTTTTTTTAGCACACGTTTCACTTTATTTCGCCCCCTGGTAGCCACAATGGCGTCGATCATGCTCAGAGCTTGTGCGGTGGTAGGACCCTCCTTGTAGGAATGAGCGCGCGTCAAAAAAAAAAAAAAAAAAAAAAGTTTTCATGTAGGACAACGAAAATACTACGAGGGGAAAAAAAGTATAGCGTGACACCGGCTTCGCATTCACCGGGAGAGAATCGAGCAGTTGGGGGTTTCGTCTGCTAGTTATGGTTTAAGAGTTGAACGAGAGAAATAGGTAGGTCATCTTTTTTGGAGTTTCTGAAATATTACAAGAAAGAGATGGTTGGGTGTTGTGTATACTCAGACAAAAAAAAAATAATAATAATAATAAAAAATAAATAAATAAATAAATATATATATAAAATAAGAATAAATAAATATGTAGGGGTAAAAGGGATGACTCCTCGAAGGATGATTTCCTAAATGAAAGTCTAAGGGGCATAGTAACGAGAGGGAAGCGCTGTATTTGGCGACGAGTAACGAGCGAAGTACCTCAAGGATTGGTCTTGATGCCGACTATACTACCATTTCCGTCAGTGATTTAGGGGCAAACATAATCCAACGTAATTATCTGAACAAGTTTGCAGACGACGTGAAAATACATCGAGACATCGAAAACTTACTCATGTGGAGTTGTATTTGGCATTCAGCAAGCCATGTAGTCAGCTTCAGGAAAAGTGACCCCTACACCAATACGTTAAGAGGCTCACTACTAAACTAAGTAGATAGTGTGAAAAACAACAACAAACAAACTGAAATAACCATAGCCAAGAACATAATTCCAACTTATCATATGAATGAAAAAAGTCCATCAAAAGCTAAGGTTGATTGAAAACAGGAAGAGGGCATTTACATATGCGGACGAAAGTATGGTAAATTATATGACCTACTCCAGATTACAGAGCAGTGTTATGTTGTCCACACTCACTTAAAAACGATATAGGCAAAATGGAAAGAGATAGATGGACCAGAAAATGGCTTATTATTTTGGATAAAAGAAAGAAAACAGGCGATTTGATTAAAAGCAAGAGTGAAATTAGATAAAGATGACTTTAAAACTTTGAACTTAAGAAGAACGAGAGGACACGTTAAAAAAAAGAAAGTAAAGAATGAAAATAGGATGTAAAAAGCTTCAGTTTTCCAAGTATAACTATCAAAACACGGAACAATCTGTTTTCCAAAAATGTGCATCAGTTTGATGTTATAAGATCTTTGTGTAACAGACGGGCCCCTAAGAACATAGCTCAGCGCCCATGTTACAACAACTAGGTAAGCACATACACACCACACACACACACACACACACACACACACACACACACACACACACACACACACAACACACACACACACACACACACACACACACACACACACACACACACACACACACACACACACACACACACACACACACACACACACACACACACACAGAGTTTAACCGGATTATATTCCTTCTTCTCTCCCTCGTCAATTTCAGAATAAATAAAACTTGTAACTGGTAAGAAAACGTGTAAAAAACAAAACAAACAAAAAAACGAGAAGCAAATTTTGGGACAGACTATCAAAGAAATAACAAAAATACTTGTGTGTGGATTTTTATTAATCCTAAAATAGCAAGAGTTTCACAGTCACTAGTTAATAAGCCTATTTTTACAATACAGAGGGTGGGTATCACAATGCACAATGGAAATAATGAACAAGGAAATGAGGTACAGGTTCTCTGGACGAAAATATATGAAAAATATAATAAACCATTCATTTTTTTTTCAAGGATAATATCATCTATTTGCGTAACCTTGGCAGCAATAGCAGCAGGTGATAATAATACGATAGGGAATAAACAGTCGTAAATTACTTGTTCTTTTTGGTACAGGCATAAACAAGCATACACGAGTACTATCAACTTCAATTTTACGAGCCAGTGACCATTGCCAAACCCAATTGCCACAATCAGTGAACAAACTGCAGCTGAAAGGAAGTTGACTTTGATAGACGAATGAATACATAAAAGACACACTTTTTTTCCTGCTTTTATTGTATTTCTTCGTACACTTCTTTCTCTCCTTCTTTTTCTCTCTTCTTTATCTCCATCTCTCCTTCTCTCTTCCTTTCTTATTACCCTATCTCCATCCCTTCTTCTTTTCCTTCTCTCTCACTCTTTATCTGCCTTTCCTCCATAGGTCTATCTACCCATTCACCATCCTTCCATTCTCCTTCTCTCTCCCTATTCTACCTTCCATTTATCCCCCATTTCTCTTCTCTCTTTCTCGATATCCCTGTTCTTCATCCTTTTCTTCATTCCCCTGTCTCTAATTTAATCCTCTCCTCTCCTCTCTCTCTTTGTCTCTCTGTCTGTCTGTCTGTCTTCTCTGTCTGTCTGTCTGTCTCTCTCTCTCTCTCTCTCTCTCTCTCTCTCTCTCTCTCTCTCTCTCTCTCTCTCTCTCTCTCTCTCTCTCTCTCTCTCTCTCTCTCTCTCTCTCTCACACACACACACATACACACACACAACCGAACATACAAACACACACGCACAAGCATCCCCTCCACCCCTTCCCCCTCGCAAACACACACAAACAAAAAAACAAACACACACCAAAGCCCAAGGACGTCCCTAAGTGAGCCTGCTGTAGTCCTCCTGCGGGCCGTCGGAGTCGAGCGGGTCCTCGTGCCGTCTTCTCGTGCTGTTGAGAGCCAGGACGCCCTTCCTGACCAAGAAGATGCCCAGTAGAGCGAGCAGCACCGCCATCACCACCAGCGTGGACAGCACCGTCGCCCCGGTTGTGCCTCCGAGCTTCTGTGGAGGGAGTGGGGGAGGTTAGTGGATGGGTGGGGGGAGTGGGGAGGTTAGTGGATAGGGGAGAGGGAGTGGAGGAGTGTGGAAGGAGTGGAGGAGGATAGTGGGGTTCAGTGGATGAGTAAGTGGGAGTTGAAGGAGGTTGGTAAAGCTCAGTGGATGGATGAGTGGGAATGGAGTGGGGTTCAGTGGATGGGTGAGAGGGAGCAGAGGAGTGTGGAAGGAGTGGAGGAGGTTAGTAAAGCCGAGTGGGTGAATGGGTGGAAATGGAGAGGGTTAGCGGGGTTCGGTGGATGGGTAAGTGGGAGTTAAGGAATGTGGAGAAAGTGGAGGATTTTCTGGAGTTTTTGGATTGGATGGGTGAGTCGAGGAATATAGATGGAGTGGGGAGTGGAGGATGTCAGCGAGTGGAAGATACAGAAAGTGGAAAGAGTGGAGGACTTAAGCGAAGTTTAGGATTAGATGTGTGAGTGGAAGTTGAGGAATGTGGAACCAGTGGAGGATTTAAGCGAAGTTTAGGATTGGACGATTGTGGACGTAGTGAAGATCAGCGAAGTTGAGGAATGGATGGGTGGATGGAAGAGAAGCCACATCGCTCCTGCATATGTTGGGAAGAGCGAACGAGAGAGAAGAATGTTTGACTTGAACATAAAAAATCATTACTAATATAATAGAACATGCTTAACGAAAGATAACGAAGAATTAGGAAAATGGTTATCGGTCGCTAGGAAGTTAAATGTTCAAAAGGTTCATTCATAGGACTATCCAGTTGACCTTATTGCCATCTGCATTCGCAAATATGGAAAACTTATATATGAAAAATTGACTATCAAGCTGAATTTTCGGATTTACAAACCAGTTTTTTATTATTTATTTACTTATTTATTCTTTTTTTTTATCAGTATTAGGTATTTTTAAAACATATGCACATAGAAAACATCTGAATAATAATGTGTGTTTCCGACTGGTTATAGTTTCGACCTTGAACGAAATGTAACGTTGCCATGAAAGAGCTTAAAAGGGAGAATGAAGTCAAATGTCCTTTTTATTGGACGTGACATTCCGGGAAACACACCAGACACTTGTACTAGGTCGTGATTTTAACAGTGAACCAACCCGCAAAATGAATCTTTCACTAAACCAATCCACAAATCTAATCTTCCACTGAACTAACCCACAAAACCAAAATCAATATTTCACTGAATTAACAGACAAAGCTAATATTTTACTGAACCAACCCGCAATACCAAAACCAATCTTTCACTGAACCAACCCACAGATCTTATCTTTCACTGAGCCAGTCCACATAACCAAAAAACAATCTTTCACCAAACCAATCCATAAATCTAATCTTCCAGTGACCCAACCAAGACAGCAAATCTTTCACTGAACCAACCCACAAATTTCATCTTTCACTAAGCCAATCCACAAAACCAAAGCCAATCTTTCACCAAACCAATCCATAAATCTAATCTTCCAGTGAACCAACCAACACAGCAAATCTTTTACTGAACCAACCCACAAATCTCATCTTTCACTGAGCCAATCCACATAACCAAAGCCAATCTTTCACCAAACCAATCCATAAATCTAATCTTCCAGTGACCCAACCAACACAGCAAATATTTTACTGAACCAACCCTCAAATCTAATCTTTCACTGAACCAACCCACAAAGCCAGAACCAACCATTCACTGACTCTACCAACACGACGAATCTTTCCCTCAGAATCCACATGATCTGATGCTAAAAAGAGAGGATAAAATCATATTTATAAAACGCCTGCTTTGAATGCATTCCCCAAAGCCCCAACAGCAGTGGAATTCACAGTTCGGGGAAGAAGAGGCAGATTTTCTACTTGGGGTACTTAAGGGCTGAATTGGCCTAGCTTCCTCCAGCCATCTGCTGCTGCGTTCTAATGGTGGGCGTGGCAGCTGTCTTGGAGGTCCTGGGCCCTTTTGGATGTCCGGTGGGTGGCATGAGTACTGTTTTTGTGCTAGTGATACCTGTGGTTTTCTTTTATTTTGATTGAATTAATTATATCATTTTGTGATCGAGTTAATAGGCAACGTATTTTTTTACATATTATACATATTTTTTTTTATATTATGTATGTGCTTCAATGCTATCACACATACGCACGTGTGTGTGTTTGCGTGTTGTGAGTGTATATGTTTGTGTATCTGTGTGTAATTATAATTTCCTTTCATCTCTTCTCTCTTTCCGTATATCTTTCCCTTCATCTTTCTCCTCAATGTCGTTTTTTTCAAATCACTCTTTTCCTCCTCTTTCTTCTCCTCCTTCCCCCTCCCCTTACTCTACCCTTTCTCTCTGTCTCTCTTCCCTCCCCTATCCTCCCTCTTTCCTTCCTCCCATTCGTAATCAGCCCCCTCCCTTCCTCCTTTTCCTTCTCCACTCACCAAGCTTCGACAAGAAGAGGTCAGCGCCCCGCAGTTCGTGGCTGAGAAGAAGACGGCGAGGGCCCTGTGCAGAACCTCCGCCTTGTCCTTGCAGAACCACCTGTTCTTCTCCGCCTTAGCGTTGCAAACACCAACTGCCAGCTGGAGACGGCTGCAATAGAGACAGGTTCGTGTATGTTGAGATATGCCAGCTTTCCGTCAACTACGATTTTCGTATTAGAAAGTAATACAAGAATGAATGCGAAGACATTAATAATCAACAAATAAATTAATAAAAACAAATCGTTTAATTCAAAAGGAAGGAAACACCACAAAAAAAGGTTTAATATGTTCTATAAACAAGCACAGAAAAAATCCAAAAATTCCAACCTAAGTCAAATACAAAGGGATTCGGACACGCTGACTCACTTGCATTCATAAGCGTCGAGGTCGGTAGTCAGCAGATCGGACACGTGCATGATGTTCGCCTCAGTCTCAATACATGAAATAAATTTTTTGAAGCTCCAGCACCGCGTGTTATCCAGAAGAACTGTGAAAAGGGAAAGGAAAGATGTGAGATGATACACTTTCTGCGGAGAGAGAGAGAGAGAGAGAGAGAGAGAGAGAGAGAAGAGAGAGAGAGAGAGAGAGAGAGAGAGAAGAGAGAGAGAGAGAGAGAGAGAGAGAGAGAGAGAGAGAGAGAGAGAGAGAGAGGAGAGAGAGAGAGAGAGAGAGAGAGAGAGAGAGAGAGAGAGAGAGAGAGAGAGAGTGAGAGAGAGAGAGAGAGAGAGAGAGAGAGAAGAGAGAAGAGAGAGAGAGAGAGAGAGAGAGAGAGAGAGAGAGAGGAGAGAGAGAAGAGAGAGAGAGAGAGAGAGAGGAGAGAGAGAGAGAGAGAGAGAGAGAGAGAGAGAGAGAGAGGAGAGAGAGAGGAGAGAGAGAGAGAGAGAGAAGTGGAGAGAGAGAGAGGAGAGAGAGAGAGAGAGAGAGAGAGAGAGAGAGAGAGAGAGAGAAGAGAGAGAGAGAAGAGAGGAGAGAGAGAGAGAGAAAGAGAGAGAGAGAGAAGGAGGGAAAGGAGGTCACACACAAACACACACGCAAGAGAGAGAGAGAGAGAGAGAAGAGAGAAGAGAGAGAGAAGAGATAGAGAGAGAGAGAGAGAGAGAGAGAGAGAGAGAGAGAAGAGAGAGAGAGAGAGAGAGAGAGAGAGAGAGAGAGGGAGGAGGGAGGGAGGGAGGGAAGGGGTGAAAAAAGAGAGAAAAGAATATGATAATATTAATAACAGTAATAATATTGATGATTATGATAATGATGATAATGATAATAATAATTACTGTGATAACAATAATAATAATAACAGTAATAATAATGATAATGATAATAACAATGACAATGATTAGAACACTGATATTAATAACAATAATAATAATGATAATAATGACAATAATGATAATAACAATAATATTAGTAAAACTACTAATACAACTAATAATAATAAAAGCAGCAGCAGTAGTAGTAGTAGTAGTAGTAATGATAATAATACTAATAATAATAATGATAACAGTAACAATAACAATGATAATAATAATAACAATAATAATAATGATAATATCAATAGGGGCAGCAACAGTAGTAGTAGTAATATATATATAATAACAATTAAAATAATAAGTAGTAGTAGCTGTAATAATAAAAGAATAAAACAATAATAACAACGATGATGATAATAATAGCAATAATAATAATAATGATAATGATAATAATAATAATAATAAAAATAATGATAACAATAATGATAATAATAATAATAACAATAACAATAATAATAATAATAATAATAATAATAATAACACCAATAATGATTATAATAACTTTAATGATAACAGTTATAGTGGTAATGGTAACGGATAACAAAAAATATTATTATAATAATATTTCTATTACTACTGTCATTACTGATAATAATGATAATGATGATAATAACAGTAAAAGTAATGGTAATAATTATAATAACAGCAATAATGACAATGATGATGATAACAACATAATATTAACAATAGTAATGATAATGGTAAAAACAATAGCATAAGAAAAACAACAATGTCAATACTGATACTAATAACAATAATGAAAGCATCAGTAATAATGGCAATGATAATAAGAAGAAAAGTTATGACAATAAAGATTATGATGATGAAAATAATAATAATAATAATAATAATAGTAGTAGTAATAAAAAAATAATGATAATGAAAATAATAACAATAAAATAATAATAAACAAATACATTAATGATAAAAGTAATATTGATTGTAACAACAACAACAACAGTAACAATATTCAGAACAATGATAACAAGAACAATAAAGAGAATAGAAATAGCGGTAATGATTGAATGTTGGTATGCATCAATGGTTCTATTTTTCCGGCATTAGGCAACTTTTTTTTTTTTTTTTTTTTTTTTGAATAGCGGGAAAGTCTGGTGATAATGAAATGTCGGTGGAAGGAAAAAAATTCCCCATCTCCAAAATAAGACAAGTGCACCCCCTACTTGCCAAAGATCAGAAGTAAAGGAATGTGCCAGTTCCAGCCCCACGTCGAGGAAGTACAATTCTGTCTTACCACAAGTCTTCGAAGAGTTGAAAGAAAACAGACAAAGAATTCTTTCAACCAGATTTTTTTTTTTTTTTTTTTTTTTTTTTTGCTATATCTTTCGCGGACGTCACAATATCGGCGGGAAATTAGAATAAAAAAGAATCGGGATTTTCACTTTTTTTCATTTTCCTGGAAATAAATGTCGGCGGGCCCGCTATTCAAGAAATAAAATTGCTGTGGCCTTAGCGTGAAAATTACCCTCACTACAGTCTTTTTGAATTTAGTGTTAGTTAAGCGAAAGAAGGAAAAGAATACTTAACTATTTATGTATTTTTTTTTCATTAGTTTTTACATTTTGAATATCTCGATGAATATTGGATTTCCTTTTGCTTTATCTATTTATGTATTTATCGTTCTCATATATCAATTTACTCCATGAGCTGTTCCTATTAACAAAGGCGTTGTTACTCCCTGGAAAACGCTTCATTATCTTCACAATGGTAATTACCCCAGTTTGAGAACCACCGGTAGGCCTATAGATAAAACGCATCAATGATAACATAAATACAACCATCATGACTGGCAGTGAAATACGAGAAACACACACACACACACACACACACACACACACACACACACACACACACAAAAAAAAAACACTCCGCAATGAAAGTGGTGGTAACAATAATGGTAATACTGATGATACTGTTAATATTTCAGCATTACTTCCACTGTTACTCCTACAACTAACATCATAGGCATAAATCATGAATAATATCGAGAAAAAGACAGTAATGACTATATATTACTATGCATTTTGGTTATTCACTGAATATTTATCTAAACATTTAGATAAATAGATAAATAGGTTAGTTGATAGGAAGCGTGAGTGCATATGGTAAAAATGAATGAATTACCTTCCTTTTCTCATTTCATGGTAATCATTTATGAACTATACATATTGCGTGGTCTCCTTTCCTTCATTCTTCATTCATAAGGCACTGTCTTATACTTCTAAAAGGGTTCCTTTGTTCTCTTTCCATTCATTCGTTCAAAAACATATACACTCCCTGCCACACGCCGCCCCGAAACAAACAAAAAAAGAATGCAAATACAGTTCCCTAGCTGATCCTGCCAGTCCTCTCCCAGCAGCGGCACCGTGGCATCTGCAGCCTCCTCAATGAGCATCACTCACAATCATGCCAACGTCACTTGTTTCTCATCACCATCTATCACTTCTGTCACTGTCGATCTCATGGCTCTCACTGGCTAGTGTTACCAAGCACCACCGCTGGCCACTTTGCTCCGGCCATTGTTACCAGCTGCTCTTGGAAATCGCATTTCATCCTAGTGTTCCAGAGTAGCGTAAAAAAATTATATTCATGATCCTTCTTTCATCTTATAAATGATTGGATTGTCTTTCATAGAGGATCCAAGAGGCTTTCCCGTATTTTCCACTTGCATAAACCTTCGATTTCATGATCTTTCATTAATATTATAAATGATTTAAATGTCTTAGAGATTCCAAGAAGCTTTCCTGTGTTTCC